TCCCCAGAATTGCCACTAGAAGGTCCGTCCAGGGTCCGCGCACAGGGCAGGGCATCACCACACAATTGGGACACGCACGCTCGGTCAGTGCCTCCCGCAGATGGTCCACACCAAGACAGGAGGGACACAGCACATGGCCATTGTCCTGCTGCATCGGGGCGAGACAGGACTGGCAGGTCAACAATTCAAGCATCCCAGCAAGTGAACGCGCAGGAGCAGTCACCACTAAGTACAGGGGCACACCCGGTAGGGTCAGGTCGAGCAGAGACGGCACTAGCAACCCACAGAACACGCCGAACACACACGGGAAACAGCCAAGACAACAGGGTCAGGTCGAGCAGAGACGCCACTAGTGACCCACCGAACGCCGTACACGCGCAGGGAACTACCAAAATAACAGGGTCAGGTCGAGCAGAGACGCCACTAGTGACCCACCGAACGCCGTACACGCGCAGGGAACAACCAATATAACAGGGTCAGGTCGAGCAGAGATGCCACTAGTGACCCACCGAAAACACGTGGAACACACGTAGGCAAACAGCCAATATCACAGGGTCAGGTCGAGCAGAAACGCCACCAGTGACCCACAGAAAAACACGTGGAACACGCGCAGGCAATTAGCCAAGACACAGGGTTAGGTCGAGCAGAAACGTCACCCGTAACCCCCCAATAGATTCAACAAAAAACTACCGAGCACAACGTGACGGCGAATAAGCAAGACAGACTTCTGCCTCCCTTGTCCACCCTCCTGACAGTACAGGTAGCGTCCTTCACTTTTTAATAATCGCACGTCTTTGTATTAATAAAGTTGCTTTCTGTAGCCTAGGGGTGTGCTGTTATGGGTCGCGTTCCGGTGCAACTGGCTCAGCTCTTTTTCTGTGGGTCCACGTCTGGACCCAGAATGTTGTGCACCACGGCCTACTGACCGTGCACAATGACAGTGTTCCACAGGGTAGGTTAGTGTGAGTTGTCCTGAAATCAAACTGTTCCTGCCCTGACCGCCACGAGTCCAGCGTCTTCTGCCTGGGCTGGCGTCGTGCCGCAGGAGAAAGCCCCAGTTGTGTGGCTTGGGAGCGCGATTGACGTGGATTATTCATGCCGCATAGAGTGGTACCCTTGGTGGCATTGCTCATGGTGTGCTAACCTCTATCCACGCTGAACAGACGTATAGCTAATACACCACAGATGGTTGCCCTAGCTTAACACATCACTCTGCTCGCTTCATCCCTGGAGTAGTGCCCATGGTGGCTCGCTCATGGTGTGCTACGTTCTGCTCACGCTGGACAGGCGTAATACTACTGCACCACAGCTGGTTGCTTAATAACATCACTCTTGGTGCCCATGGTGGCTCGCTCAGGGTGTGCCTCTGCTTCACTATATCAGCTGCGAGGGGATAGGCCCATGACAGCCCATTCCCCGGCGCTAGCATATGGAGTATACGCGGGTGCGGAGGCCTGGCCTTGGCGGTCAGGCTTTCCTCCCAGAGAGGATGGAGTACGCCTGTACACCAGCTTCCTCAGCGCTTGGCCAACGCTGCCAGTGTTTCCGCCAAGAATTTTTGTGAGGGGGGGACCGCGAGGGGGAGGGGGAATGTCGAGGTCCGATGCCCCATAAAAAAATGTCACGTACGTTTATTGCAATGATTTTTGTTAATACTTTTCACGAGGAGTTAGTGGACATGTGTGCCTTTAATATGAGCAGCCTTTGTGGGAATGGTTATATTCAAAGAATTAGAGTAAAATGAGTTTGTAAAACACCTGCGGAACCGTAGTTCTGAGCGGAGCTAGAGCAGAGCCAGAGGTCTTCAGAGATCTGACAAGTATTTGGTCTGATACTGGCTCACTCAGATTCAGAGGAGGAAGACACGCAGGTGTCCAGTGAAGCAGACAGACATTGTTAGTGACAGGAGTCCGCGCCATAATAGTCCCCAGTCAGCCACAGTTTACGTCCTCCGTGGGGCCACCGCGGTAAAGAGGTCCGGCTTTTCGGAGTCAGCGGTAAAGAGGTCCGCACATTAAAAGCGGATGGCCGCTTTATGCTGTTAGTGTTACTTAAGGTAACATTGGAAAGAGAAGCCGCGGGGATGAACCGCCACAACCACAATGCACTTTTTAACATCAAGCGGACACCCGCTTTTAATGTGCGGACCTCTTTACCACTGACCCCAAAAAGCCGGGTCTCTTTACCGCGGTGTGTGACCGCAGTGGAAACATTCTGCGAACGCCAGGCAGGGGACGTGGTGTAGGGGACAGGGGGGGTCATAACACCGGGCATGTGGTTGAATGTAGCGGGGATAAACAACCGCGGGGAACAAACACACCGCTAATCTGCCTTTACGGACGGAGATGATGATGATGAAGACAGTTCTTGAGAAGAGAATCCATAAAAGTGGATCAGAAATGTTGAAAAGGCTGTTGTCAGATCGTCTACACAATAAACAAGTTCTGAGCCCATTCATTTAATCGCTCTGTTTCTAAACGATGAATTCTGGAGCCTCATTTCCACTGAGACAAACAGTATGCCACTAGGTCTTTTGAAAGGGTAATATTGAAACCAAAGTGCAGATTTCATGACTGGTAAACTATAAGCAGTGCCATCTTGATCATTGAAGGTCTAATACATAATACAAGTTCATATGGCCGCTGACCAGTGCTAAAATATTCTATATAAATTGGATCTGTGAATTTATTTCTATCCCAAATTGTATTTCATACTAAAGATAGTTCACATTGAATGTTGACAGTATTCCTTGAATTCAAAATACACTCTCAAACTACAGGTTTTTGAAATCTTTACACAATAATTTACATTTTCCAAAATGGCCACCACCTTGATGACGTCACAATATGCAAGTTAGATGACGAATCAACATCCATCCCAAAGTTTGGTTCATACTGAAGATATTTCTGATTTACAATATGCCTTAATCTCAAACCACTTTAAAGTTATAGCCTTTTGAAATCTTGAAATCAAAATTGTAAATTTTCATGAAAAAAATGGGCTTAGTGCTGTGTGAAAATCACTCTTCAATGGCCTGGGCTCCGCACCGTGCTCCTCTTTGCTGTCATCGTTTCAACATGTCCAGAAATTCAACTTTTTAGCACTAACCATGTTGTGGGTTTAGTCCATGGTTTTGTTAAGGATAAAATTAGCATACAGCACTTACAGTCACACTGCTAGCAATCAGACATGGATTCACATTTGTCAGGCTGAATGCTGTGATGCAGGAAACATGCCACGGAGATTGCCCCTTAGCCAATCAGGACGCAGAACACAATACGCTGGTTCTTCCTTAGCCAATCAGGATGAACACACCAAGTTCATATACAGTGAAAATAATTCTGAAAATAAATCCGCAAGACTGCAAAAAGTGAACTGCTATTCATCTGAGGAGATGCCGATGTTTGTACTTTGTAATTTTTTGACATCCTACATGTAATACATCATAGATTAGACAGTATTCCAGATCAGGTGTATGTTTTTGCACTTTTTGATGTGAGATACATGCATGTCTAAAAAAATTGAGGGGGGGATATCCCCCTCTAGGGCCATGGCTAGGGGGGGACTGATCCCCCCCATCCCCCCCTCTGGAGGAAACCCTGGCTGCTCATCTGCCAAGTACCTGGAGCCTCTCTCAGCGCGCCTCTCTCAGCGCGCCTCTCGTGCGCGCGCTGGAGTCTGCTCCGGGAGCGCTGTGCGCTCCCCGTGCCTTTGCCTCTCTTGGGCAGAGAGTGCGCGGCTGCACGCTACCCTCCTACGCTCTCTGTGCGCCACGAGCACCAGCTCACAGCTGTCCTGCCCTCACGCTGCTACCCGGTAAAAGCCAGGGCTGCAGCTATAGGCTCAGACCTTTTTCCAGCGGCCCCCCACTATCCAGAGCAATGAGTGGTACTGCTCGCCCCTCTGTCCACAGTGTTGGGGAGCGGGGGCTCGGCTCTACATAAGTGCAGTACATCTGCCCTCACGTGGCCACCCAAGAGAAGGGCCCAGGGCCGCAGCTAGGACCCAGCCCTCTTCCCAGGGGCCCCCCACTGCAAAAAGTGGGACTGCTCGGTCCCCTCTCAGTCCACAGTGTTGGGGAGCGGGGGCCCGGCTCCACGTAAGCGCAGCACACCTGCCCTCACGCAGCCACCCGGGAAAAGGGCCTAGGGCCGCAGCTAGGGCCCAGCCCTCTTCCCAGGGGCCTCCGAATGCAATAAGTGGGACCTGTCGTCGGCGCCCTCTCAGTCCACAGTGTTGGCGAGCAGGGGCTCGGCTCCACGTAAGCGCAGAACACCTGCCGTCACGCGGCCACCCGGGAAAAGGCCCAGGGCCGCAGCTAGGGCCCAGCCCTCTTTCAAGGGGCCCCCCACTGCAATAAGCAGGACTGCTTGGCCCCTTCTCAGTCCACAGTGTTAGGGAGCAGGGGCTCGGCTCCACGTAAGTGCAGCACACCTGCCCTCAAGCGGCCACCCAGAAAAAGGCCCAGGGCCGTAGCTAGGGCTCAGGCCTTTTCCCACGGGCCCCCCACTATCCAATGCCTCCCCAGGATGGGATATCTGTGGGCGGACCAGGCCTTTCTCCCTCCTCCCATCCCACTGTGCTTCCCTTGACCCATGTTGTCACCGTATCGGAACAGTCGGGGCTCCGGGGAACTCCGTTGATACTGTAGGGTATGAAAATTGTATGTGGAGAGGGGAGGCTTTGTATCAGTTTGTGTCTCTGTTTTTGTTCCGGCTCTGGGGGCGTGTCTTATGACGTCGACTTTCCGCGCCTCCAGAACTCCTTTCATGAAATCATATACACATTAACCACATACACGTTACTTAGACATAGACACACAACACACCTTGTTCACAGACAATGGTACACACGTTTTCTGATTTAAGATGTTAGCAAAAAAACATATTCATCCGTGGTTTCAGTTGTCCGTCTCCGGTGTATTGGCGTCCCGTGTCCACTGGGGGGGGTGGTGGAACGCCGTTGCCGGCCCATGGGTGATGTCTATGGCTTTGTTTGAGGCGATGCAGGCCCACTGGCCCCCTTTGAACTCGCCGGGGGTGGGGGCCAGAGGTGTGCTCTGGGGACGATCACTGTCTTTGAGATGACTGCTGTATCTATGTGAGCCATTGTGGTGCTCTATCCGACCTCCATTGCCTTAGATGTTCCGAGCCGTGTGTTTTTGTTATCTCACACACAACCGGCCTGGGCCATCGCGGGGGGGGGCAGTGCATTTTATTACCTTACACAGGGATGTACCTTCCGACAAGGTACATGTCGTGTCGGAGACGCCGGGGCGGGTGTCCTCAGTCGGTTGTCTCGCCTGTTTGGGTGTTGTTAGTGAGTGATCTAGGTTAATATGTTAAGAACATTCTCGTTGATGTGACTCAATAGTTAGCACGCGCCTCGCTGGGGCCAGGTCTGTGGCGGTTGGGTCTCAAGCCTCTAGTTTGGTTCGTGGGGGCCGAGTTTCCTCTAAGGCGTGTCCTGGCCCTACAGGCTAGTTCTAACCGAGATCAGGGGCTCACGGAGTGGGGGGGGGAGCTACAGGGGCAGTGAACTCTAGGGTTTGGGTCGGTGTACCTAGCTCCTGGATCTCTTGGTCTGGAAGGCTAAAAGTTCCAAGCCGAGAGACCAACACAAGTTTCTACTACTAGGAAAACTAGAAAAACATTTTAAAAATCATAAGGTTGGCTGTTTTGGCAGCGATTGGGCGAGTTATTAAGGCACTCATTGGTGAAAGGGGGTTCCTTCGTCCCTTCTTGCTCGTTCTAAAAGGGGGAAGTGAGAGGATGATCAAAAAGGTACGACGCAGCAGTTGGAGAGGACTTGGTTAAGAGGGAGATACATATATACATATATATATATATATATATAAACGGGGATGACGGGCATGATTGTCTGGGAAACTGGGTGTCGAAGTAGATTTGTTTGGGTCTGAGCTGGTGACTCCTGGTGGGTTTCAAGCCTTTGGTTCACCTTCTATGATAGAAAGAGTGGCCTGGGGACGCCGGCTTAAACGTCCATGTTCGGCAGCGATGTCGTGGTAGGCTGCTATGTCAGGTGTCTGGAACTTAACGTGAACATTGTCCTTCCAGGTCCCTAGGTTAGTGATCTCTTTCATTGGGGACTACCGGGAGGGTGACTAGGAAGGCTGGGTTGACGTCTATGGGGGACTGCAGCGCCCAGCGTGTACGCTAAGTGGGCCTGGGCTGGGGTCGCTAATCGCTATCTGGTACACTGCGGTTGCGAGTTTGTTTACCACCCTGTATGGTCCCGTGGTGGGTATGCCATGGGCGTGTGTCAACATCACCCCCCCTCATGCTTCGATGCACCACGAGTATGTGTGAAGTGTGTGTGTTCAAAGTATAAACCAGAAGCCCATGGCGTAACGACAGTTTGTTTTTATCACGCCAGAGCTTGTTGAGCGTTTGGTCGTTAGACATTAGTCGGGTTGTTTGGGTTGGCTATTACGTCGATATGGCGTTTTGGATTGGGGTTTGCTTACTTGAGGGAGACTGGGTGTGAGTTGTCAACGTCGGGGGTTGCGGTTGGGGCGCAGTGTCGGTAACAGCGCAGCGTTGTCATGAGCAACGCAGCGTTAATGTTAGCAACCAGGGACGCTGCGTTGGCGGTTAGCGGCGCAGCAGTAGCATTAGCGGTTGCAACTAGGGACGCGGCGTTAGCGTTAGTACGCAGCGTTGGTACGCAGCATTGGTACGCAGCGTTGGTACGCAGCGTTGGCACGCAGCGTTAGCAAGTAGGGACGCAGCGTTAGTACGCAACATTAGTACGCAGCGTTGGTGCGCAGCGTTGGTGCGCAGCGTTAGTGCGCAGCGTTGGCACGCAGCGTTAGCGCGCAGCGTTGGCACGCAGCGTTGGCACGCAGCGTTAGCGGTAGCAAGTAGGGACGCGGCGTTAGCATTAGTACGCAGCGTTAGTACGCAGCGTTAGTATGCAGCGTTAGCGGTAGTAAGTAAGGGCGCGGCGTTAGCACGCAGCAAGTAGGGACGCGGCGTTAGCACGCAGCAAGTACGGACGCGGCGTTAGCACGCAGCGTTAGCAGTAGCACGCAGCGTTAGCAGTAGCACGCAGCGTTAGCGGTAGCACGCAGCGTTAGCGGTAGCACGCAGCGTTAGCGGTAGTACGCAGCTTTTAGCACGCAGCTTTTAGCACGCAGCTTTTAGCACGCAGCTTTTAGCACGCAGCTTTTAGCACGCGGCGCTAGCGGTAGCAAGTAGGGACGCAGCATTTGTTTTGCACTTTCCTACTCAGGCACTTTCGTGCCTACTGAGGCGTAGCGACTTCTCCGACTATGTGGTACGCTCGCAGGCCTAAGAGTCGTTGCCACTTTAATTATAGCCGCGTAGTACCTGAGGTTTTAATCTCAGGATTTTGATGAGCAGACACGAGCACAGGTGAGGCATGTCTGTAAGCCGCAGCCTGTCCCCTTTAAGGCAGGTAGACTGGGTGGGCTCTCTAAGTCCGCGTTTGGACTTAGGGTCGGGGCCGTTCCGGTGGGAACGGCCCGTTTTGCGCTTCCCTCCGAAAGCGACTTTGTCGACTATGTGGGACGCTCGCAGGCCTACGAGTCGTTTGCCACGTTACTATAGTCGCGTGTGACCTGAGGTTTTAATCTCAGGATTTTGAGGCCTAGAAGTTAAAATAAAAATATGATGCATACAAGGTTCGTTTTGTCGTAAACGAGGACGCAATTTTGTTCAATTGAAACCGTTCAATGAGAGTTTCACACTGGGGTCCCCAACTTTCCTGTGAGGGCCACATAACTAAGTTCATAGCTTAAGAAACTTTTTACTGCTAAAGTCCAATTTCATTATTAAATGCACGAGTGTGTTCACAGTAAAGCGTCAGTTGAACTTTAGATCCACTTTAAAGGGTTATAACTCTAAAACTGAAATCGCTATCAAGATTAGAAGAAGAAAAAAAAAATAAAAAAAATAATAATAATAAGAAATCATTAAACACGGACGGATTAGAGAGATAGTGTGGATAAAATCAAAAGGAAAGATTTACAGATATATATTTTTTTCCCACATTTTTAAACGACGAAATCATTTACTGATTTGGCCATTCTGTTGTGATGCCAGTTACATAGAAAATAGAATGTTTTCATTTTGAAAAAAAAAATAAATATATATATATATATATATATAAGTAAATGAAAAAGAGAGAAAAAAAAAGAAGAGAGGAAAAAGAAAAACGGCAGATAAATTCCTACAAGATTAATATTTTTCACACAATAGAAGTAAATGACTTGATTTCGAAAAAGGGAATTGTTGAATAAATGACCTTTGAAACAGCGGGATGTTTTCGTCCATCTATTTCTAATAATTAAACTTGGGAGAGAGGAGAGAGAAAACCAATTTGGTCTGTTTTCACATTTAATTGGTTGACTATATGAAATTATCACTTTGTTTTTATTCTAGGTCTACAGAAAACTTGTCTAATGTATAAAACAGTTATGTTCTGGCAACTTCTAATGGGCAGAGGAGGTGTGGAGACATGGAAAACATAAAATATCCTTTGATTGTTGAAATCAAACTGTTCTTTTGTCACACTTTTGTGTCATTTAGTTTGAGCAAGCCCATATATGAAAATATATTCTGGCATTGTCCAGGGGGCCGGAGGAAAAGCAGAGGAGGGCCGGATCCGGCTCGCGGGCCGTAGCTTGGGGACCACTGGTCTACGCAGTGGGAGCGCACGGGGTGGTGAGGGTGGGGGTCGACCGCGTGGTTTTAAAATGGCGTTTACAGTCGTTTCGTCAGAGTATGAATTATATAATTAAGATATATGCGCGGATTTCACACGGGGCATCAGATGTAGGATATGAAAATTGTATGTGGAGAGGGGAGGCTTTGTATCAGTTTGTGTCGGTATTAAACGCCGCAAACGTAGTCCTAAGCCTCGCCTACTCCGGGTTGAATGGATCTAAATTTTAAGTAAGAGGGGCACCAGCAGAGTTCGAAAAGTCTGCACAGATCCATTCTGCCTCGATCAGTCTCATAATCTGATAGGTCTTGAGCTCTATATCGGCCAGGGATATCATGAATTATACAAAGTATACACTGACGACTCTTAAAAGTTAGCGTGGGTTTATTAACTACATATAGAAACGTGAACGGTAACCGGGAGGGATCACACAAGGATGATAAGTCACATGAACAGGAATGTCAGAAACACATCACCATCACACACAATACAACTCCAGCAAGTCTTACTGTTACTGCCAAGTCCCAGAGGTGAAGAGGCTTTATACCCGTTTGGGTCAGGCGGTCAATCACTTCAGTCTTCCTCACGCACGGAGAGCGGGCACGCACACACTCCAGTCTTTCCCACACACGGGAGCAGGGAGCGGGGATTGGTCCCGGGAAGCCCAGAGGTGGCTTGAGGCGCGATGGTCCACGGTGCTCCTTTTTGGTGGGAGTTGGAGAGCTGTTTCGCCGCTGCGGGACAGGCAAGTCGAGTTCAGCTCGATAGGGAAAAGGATCGGCCATTAGTCCGGGCAGCGAGCTCCAACCTGCGCCTGGGTTGAAGTTGTGGGCCCCTGGATCGCGCAGGGGAGTGGGCCGCGCTCCAAGACGCGGCCCACTGGCCCAGAGAAAGTTTCAAAGAGAGCTCCCAAAAGGTTCACCAGCAAAAGTTAACACGAAAGTTATTGTGTCTCTGTTTTTGTTCCGGCTCTGGGGGCGTGTCTTATGACGTCGACTTTCCGCGCCTCCAGAACTCCTTTCATGAAATCATATACACATTAACCACATACACGTTACTTAGACATAGACACACAACACACCTTGTTCACAGACAATGGTACACACGTTTTCTGATTTAAGATGTTAGCAAAACAACATATTCATCCGTGGTTTCAGTTGTCCGTCTCCGGTGTATTGGCGTCCCGTGTCCACTGGGGAGGGGGGTGGTGGAACACCGTTGCCGGCCCATTGGTGATGTCTATGGCTTTGTTTGAGGCGATGCAGGCCCACTGGCCCCCTTTGAACTCGCCAGGGGTGGGGGCCAGAGGTGTGCTCTGGGGACGATCACTGTCTTTGAGATGACTGCTGTATCTATGTGAGCCATTGTGGTGCTCTATCCGACCTCCATTGCCTTAGATGTTCCGAGCCGTGTGTTTTTGTTATCTCACACACAACCGGCCTGGGCCATCGCGGGGGGGGGCAGTGCATTTTATTACCTTACAATACACAGAGTGCTGAGTCGGGGCTATGCTCTCCAGTTCTCCTGGCGGCCCCCTCCTTTCTGCGGCATTCTCTAGACAGGGCTAGGCAGCCCGGAGAACGCCGTGGTGCTTCACAGGGAGGTCAACGCGCTTCTGCAGCGCCGGGCGGTAGTGGAGGTAGACCCGCTCAGGGCAGGGACAGGGTTTTACTCTCCAGACTTCATAGTCCCCAAAAGAGTGCGGAGGGGTGCGGGCCATGCTGGACCTGCTCGTCCTCAATGGCTGTATAGCCAAGCGACCGTTTCGCATGCTTACAGTCAACAGCTACTCCTGAGCGTCAGGCCCGGGGACTGGAGGTTCTCCGTGGACCTCAAGGACGCGAATTTCCACAAATCCATTGCACGGGGGCACAAGAAGTTCCTCCGGTCCCCCACTCGGCTACTCCCTAGCCCCCCCCGCACCTTCTCCTGACATATAACAACGAATGGTGATCCTGTCCTCCCGGGAGGATGCGCAGGATCAAACGTCCAGAGTGTTTAACCACGTGCCCACCTAGGGTTTGTGATCAATAGGGACAAAAGCTCCCTGTGCCCGCCCCAGGAGATCTCGTATCTGGGACTGGGCTTGAATTCCAGGAGCATGACGGCTTCACTCTCGCCAGAGGGAGAAGCGGCGGTTCAGAAACTGGGCCGGATCGTTCTGGGTGAACCTCGGGTCCAACCGCGGCAGATCCAGTCACTCTTGGGCATGATGGCAGCGGCCCATCCAGTGGTGAGACTGGGGTTGCTGCACATGCAATATCGCCAGAGGTGGTTCTCACACCTCAGGGGCTTATCACGGAGGGAGCGACTGTCGGTGAGGGCTCAGAACGACGTCGCCTTCTGGCTGTGCCCAGGTCGACTCCAGGAGGGAGTTCGAATGGGTGTTGTGGACCACCACATCAAGGTCTTCACGGATGCCTCACTGAGTGGTTGGGGAGGCGTGCTCGGCCACCACTCGACAGGAGGCGTTTGGTCCTCCCTCTTGGGGCACATCAACCTCCTGGATTTGGAGGCAATGCGGTTGGTGCTGGCCCATTTCGTGACCAGACTGGAGGGCCAACAGGTGATTGTTCGGACGGACAACACCACTGTGGCAGCATACCTGAACAGGCATGGGGGGACCAGGTCCCTCGCCCTTCACAGGCTGGCAGTGGAGGTTCTTCTGTGGGCGGACGTTCACCTAGCCTCTCTGAGGGCCCGTCACATCCCAGGCGAGCGTAACGTGGCCGCCGACAGGATGTCCAGGGGCGGGGCCTTGCGGGACGAGTGGGTTCTCGCCCCAGCGGTCGTGGCAGAGGTCTGGCTCCGGTTCGGGACACCGGTGGCCGACCTTTTCCCAAATGCAGAGAACGCACAGTGCCCACTCTGGTTCTCGCTCAGGTCCAGCAACGAGCCCCCTCTCGGGATGGACGCCAACGCCCAACGGTCTCCTCTACGCCTTCCCGCCTCTCCGGCTCTTGCTGGAGGTTTGCTGGAAACTCTTCGAACTGAACTGAAAAGTCTGGAGGTGGTTTTACAAGATGGATTGACGTCATTTTTACGGACATCAGCAAACAAGCAAACATCAGCTAACAAGCTAACACCAGCTAACACGTCAATATCCGCAACTCAGAAGCCTCAACTTTATGTCCCAGCTCCAGATGTTGAGTTTGAGAGAAATGGTGAGTGTCTTCAATCAAATGCAAACATGTAGTGTTATGGTCTTATTCTGAACATGTGTCTGTGGTTCTAAAGTCTTATTCTGAATGTGTGTCTGTGGTTCTAAAGTCTAAAACATGATGGTATGTGTCATATCTAGCTATATCTTTTACTAAACGTAGTTAGAGTGAAACACGGATTCATGGTTCAATGACAGTCATTGTGTTTTCTGCTGAATACTGGGTTGAAACTCGTAAAATTGGGTTTAGTTGGAGCTTGATAGAACTAATTTAATGGACCTGGCGCTGGTGTCTTCTCTCAGTTTGTTTGGACCGTGGCCTTCTCTGAATAAGTCAAAGATCGTAGGGACTGCTGTTTACACTCTTCTTTTTGTTACTTTCATTGCTGCATCCCGGGGCCATACACAATACACCCATTTTACGGTGTGTCCACGTCTTCCACGTCTTCAATGTAAAGAGTTTGTGCCTTGCGTCTCCCCGTTTGTGCGCGTATGAAGTACAGGCCTATACAGTGTGTGAGTGAGATACATGTTTTTAACTTGTTATCTGCGAGGGCGCAGATTCATTTTGTGGGGGTGAATGTGGTGGTGTGGCTCTGCGTGGCCACCAGCAGGAGGCGCATGGGGGTATAAAATACCTCAGTGCGCCTCTCTCTGTCTACGCCACGCAGACTTCCGCCTCCCTTGTCCACCCTCCTGACAGTACAGGTAGCGTCCTTCACTTTTTAATAATCGCACGTCTTTGTATTAATAAAGTTGCTTTCTGTAGCCTAGGGGTGTGCTGTTATGGGTCGCGTTCCGGTGCAACTGGCTCAGCTGCATGCCCTTTTTCTGTGGGTCCAGGTGTGGACTGGACCCAGAATGTTGTGCACAACGGCCTACTGACCGTCCGCAATGACAGTGTTCCAGAGGGTAGGTTAGTGTGAGTTGTCCTGGAATTAAACTGTCCCTGCCCTTTCTAATATTTAATTTCCAGGCAGGGTGCAGGATCTGGACGTGACCCCCGCTGCCATCACGCCTTACTTTCTTTTTTCGCTTTACTTTTGTCTTTTATTTTCACTACGAGTAGACACATGGGCAATTGTCAATATGTAATGTGCACTAGCTGTTGTATATTTGTGAGAGCGAGAGAAACTAAATTAATAAATATGCTTGCTCATAGAACCTGCCTCTCCTTTTTATGAACTTACCTGTGTGCCTTAGGGCATTTTATTATTTTATTTTGGGTTTAAATACCCTGGCGTTGCTGGTTTCTTTAGCTTAGTTCACCGAATGTGAGCCCACGACCCTCGTCATACTACATATGCATTGGTCCCAAGAACTCTTGGTAGAGGCTGGGGCTGCGGCCTGCCCTTGGTTCCCTGAGGGCGGTGTGGGTTGTATTACCCATCAGGAACTCTTGGCAGAAGTGTCCTGGGACTACGGCCTGCCCTTGTCCGCAAGGGCGGTGTTGTCAGTGTTCTTCGGGCAGCCTTGATAGGAGCGGCCCTGTAATACTGCTTGTGCTTCATTTCCTGCCCTGAGCCCGTTCACCTTGGTGGTGTTGGGGGAATCTCGGGCAGGGCTCCAATCACTCTATGCTGGCCTGATGGGAGTACATCTTCAATCAATCAATCAATCAAAGTTTATTTGTAGAGCGCCTTTCATACACAGGGCAACACAAAGCGCTTCACAGTCCACATCACAAATCATCACATAAAACAAACACCAGAATCACAATTAAAACATTAAAATCACACAAAAGATTAAAACACAATTTAAACATTAAAATCACACAAAAGAATAAAACCATTAAAACTTTCAAAATTACACAAGAAATTTAAAAAATAAATAAAAATAAATAAAAAAAAAAAAAAAAAAAAAATGACAACAGTGCATTAGAAATGCAGATAAAATCCTTCAACAGAACAGTCTTTAACCTGGATTTGATCTTCCTACGGCCTACGCGTGGTTACCCATAGTGTAGCCCTAAGGGGCGTAGCACAATGACGTAGAATTATTAGTTACCTAATGTGACTGTAGTTCTACAAATAGGTGCGTAGCCCCTTATCTACAAGCCCATCAGGCCAGGCTGGCTTTGGCTGAGGTCAAAGTGGCAGGTGCAGGCCTGAGCGGGGCTATTTATAGGAGGAGCTCGCTCGTGATTGGAGCATTGGATCTCCGATCTTTTTGGCGGAGGTTAGGTGCCTCAAGAGTCACACCCATAGCGTAACCCTAAGGGGCTATGCACCTATTCGTAGAACTACAGTTACATAGGTAACTAATAATTTCCCATTCTCTCCACACACGGTGATGACAGAAGCGAGTTGCCGAACAAACTGGCGCATCAAAGCCCCAACCAGCACCATCCAGCACCATCCATTCAATCTCTCACTCATTACATTCATTATGTGTGTTACATTATGTGTTCCTTCATGGCTCCTTGTATCTTTATTTCAACACTGACTTTCAATTTCCATTTATATACCGTATGCAGGATATAATCTATTCAGAGCTTCCCCCAAGTGACGTGGTCCCCAAACCCGCCCAAAAGGATTCTGGAAGTCAGCAAAGTGAAGACTGCTTTTAGCAGATGCTACACAGGCTAATGCATTTCCTCATTTGTTTTGAGCTATTTTCATAAAGATTGACACAACATTGAGACTCTCCACTTGATATGAGCAGATGGTACTATGAGATAGTGGAATTTGCACAGGACTGGTTTGAACTGTCTTTATTGTGTTTCTTTTGCATGTTTTTATTTCCTCTTTTTATGTATACATTTTAACTTCACCTTTCCTTGGACACATCCCCAATCACCCACACCTGTTTATAATCAACGAGGGACTATACATTGGAGGGGGCACTGCAAGAGGGGGAGGACTCGAAGAAGCGCTGAGGACAGGGGAGCAGGAGCAGCTCAGGCCAGGGCCACGAAGACTTAGATGGCGCACGGAGAGTGCCATGGATGGAGCGTGGGCACAACAAGAGATCCCCGGCAAGCCAGGTACCTGACCCCGGCGGGCACCCAGTGCGAGAAGCGTGGCTTTTAGTATACCAACACCAATACCTTCGGAGTGAGCAGGCCTCTGCTCAGGACTTGTTATGACTCTGTGGTAGCCTCTGCCATTTACTACGCTGCCGTGTGTTGGGCCCCGGGCAGCACAGAGCAGGACAGAAGCAGACTGAACAAGCTGGTCAGGAGGGCCAGCTCCACTCTGGGCTGCCCCCTGGACTCTGTGGAGGAGGTGAGGGACAGGAGGGTGCTAGTCAACCTCCATGACCACTTCCATCATGAACAACACCTCCCACCCACTGCACAGGACTGTAGAGGAGCTGAGGAGCTCCTTCAGTGGAAGACTGAGGCACCCTCAGTGTAGGAGCGCTACCGCAGGGCCTTTATCCCCACCGCTGTCAGACTGTACACGGTGCGGCATGGTGGCTGAGTGGATAGCACTCTTGCCTCTTAGCAAGAAGGTCCTGGGTTCGAATCCCGGTCGGACCAGGGCCTTTCTGGGTGGAGTTTGCATATTCTCCCTGTGTCTGCGTACTGTAGGTTTCCCCTACCACCAAAAACATGTCCCATAGTTCTGGCATGCGCCTCCTGTACTGGCGACCCCGCTCCCACCTCTGTGTGGAGTGAGAGGACAAATGCCCAAAAAAAAACAAATATATAACATTGTAAACCGCTTTGTGACTCTGGTCTGTGAAAGGCGGTATATAAATAAAGATTACTTACTTACTTTAAGTCACTGTATATGACTGAAAATCTGCACTACTATTGACACTATTTCTGATTGCCACTTTTTTTATTGTACATCATATATCCTGCATTTAACATGTTTGCACATTTCCTCCCTTTTTGCACAATCTTGAGTGTTCCTATCCATGCCAAATGTGACATGTAAATTTCTCCTTTGTGAGATAAATAAAGCATATCTTATCTTATCTTATCAACAACTCATTTGATTTGTTCCAGTCCGGTTTTAGACCCCACCACAGCACTGAGGCGGTCTCAGTATGTGTACCTCTTGCCAAGGTAATAAACAATATCTGACGCAGGCAAAGTCTAAAATCTGAGTGCTGCTTTTGACACTGTCAATCATGAGATCCTTATGCAGAGACAAGAGGACCGGGTTGGTGTCACTGGCACAGCCCTAAGTTGGTTTAGGTCTTACCTTGAAGACTGAAAGTACTTTGCGGAGATTGGAAACTGCTAGGTTGGACTAATGTAATGGCTCTCTTACGGATCTCTCCAAACAAGCTGTAAAACAGCTGCAGTAGGATGACAGATTTCCTCTATGATGGATTGTTTAAATCCATCTTTAAAAAAGTTGTTTTTAACTGTGATAGGGATTTTATGTTTACTCTTTTTAATGTACTGTAACTATTTATGAATTCAATGCCCTGTATATGAATTGTGCTATGCAAATAAACTTGCCTCTCAAGTATAAGTCGCATTTTTTGGGGAAAAAATAGAATAGAGAAAAAAAAATGTGGCCAAACTTGCATGTGACAGCCAAATCCCATCAGACCTCTGAAGCTGGGCAGGGCAGGGCAGGGCCTGGTTAGTACTGTGAAGGGAGACCTATGGGAAGAGCAGATGCTGCAGTGGGGTGACTGCGGCTGTAAAATGCCAAACTGTTGTTGTGTCCTTAAGCAAGACACTTCACCCACATTGCCTATGAGTCTGGAATGTGTCTGGTTGGTGGTGCTCGGAGGGGCCGATAGCACATACTAGTGAAAACAAACAACCGAGCATGTGCGCTGATGATTGACAGCCCTTAGCGTCACTTGATTGGTTAAACTGGACGGCATCGTGGATTTTGAGCTATGGCTAAGATTAGGGAAAAGTGTATGCTATATGATGCATAAACAACGAACTGAGAACGTGCCTGAAGTGCAACGTAACATATTGGTAAGAGTCATTCAAATAACGTCAGCATTTGTTTGATATTTTGCGGTAAATAAAATATAAAATTTATGTTTATATGAAATGTAATAGATTTCACTCTTATGTTGCTCCAGAGTATACAAGTCGCACCCTCGGACAAACTTTGACAAAAACTGTGACTTATGTAACCCATAAAATACAGCACTCTTTTGGGGGACATTATTCACATCATTTTACAGGTACACCTGCTCCAAGTGTGTAACCACAAGGCAACATCCACTCTGAGCTTTTGAGATCTTTGTGAAAAAGTCTCTGTCACCTGCCAAATGGTGTTTTTCTCTTGCAAACCACTCTCTCAAAAAACTTCCTGCTGAAACACTATTACAGGCAGTTACAGTTGGATGAATATATTGTTGCTGCATGATGAGGCAATTACTCCCAGAAACTTGAATACATGTATGTTTGATGTAATAGTTTATTCCAAAAAGATATGCGAAGCCGTTCTTGTATTCTTGTATTCAATGACAACGCATGTCTGATGTAATAATCTAATTTCTTAATGAAAACTACCAAGCTGGCCTTCTACCCTGGATTTAACTTAAATGTAGGCCATGTTTGAATTTGCTTGGCCCTTCTTCTACGGGTGCTTGTTGATATTTGAGAAAATGTGTCCCACTGTGAATGTTTGAAAGACAGTGTTAATGAATACGTAATACAAGATAAATGTAAGCTTTCTCTACGGATGACATGCTGATGAGGGCAGACCAGGGGACAGACCAGGGGACAGACCAGGGGGCAGACCAGGGGGCAGACCAGGGGACAGACCAGGGGGCAGACCAGGGGACAGACCAGGGGGCAGACCAGGGGACAGACCAGGGGGCAGTCCAGGGGACAGACCAGGGGACAGACCAGGGGGCAGACCAGGAGACAGACCAGGGGGCAGACCAGGGGAGAGACCAGGGGACGGACTGCACTCTGTTTGGGTTCAATGAATGATCACATGGATTGCAGAAAAAAGCTCTTGTCAAGAAAAACATGGGTAATGCCAAAACAGTGTTCACATGAGAGGGCATCAGAATGAACATTTATTGAAATGTGGATTCAGCAAAATGACAATTCCATGTTTACTCAGTTGTATTTCCTTTCTACATTAAATAAAAACAAACAGGTTGCATATAAGAGTTTTTTATGGGACCGTACTTTATTTTTTCTTTGTACATTTATTTTGTTTTGCTTAATAAAAGGATTTTTGTTTTTGTTACATTTTGTGATGAAATCAGACCAAAACATGCTGTCTTCATCCTATTGGTTGATGGTTTAACTTTAACATGCTGCTGATTGTCTGTGGGCTGATACTTTCATTACCAAAAAAGCAGATTTTTTTGAGAGCTTTGAACTAGTAAGATGAATTTTATTACATAGTAATGTTGTTGGGATTTTTAGATTAGGTACACCAGCTTTAATAAACACATGATTTATCTATGCTAGAGTTCACCAGTTGGCAATACTTTCTCTCTGTGGTCCCTGCAGGATAAGAATTTAGTATTTATTGCAAGAGGCACACAATAACACACACTCTAGTCTTTCTAGATTGTCATCAATAATGTGTTCGATTTTATAATTATAATAATGATAGTGTATGTTTCATTGAAAAGTCCCCTTGAAAACATTCAATAACACAAAAAAACATTTGAAAACAGAATACAACATTGGCTGGAAAATGATGGGGTGACTGAAGTGGGATAGTCTCAACAGGTGACTTTTTGAGTCTGGAATTGGACACAGTGAGTTCTGTCTCCCCTGGTAAAGAGTCATTGAGAGAAGTATGTACATAATTATATGTATGTTTGTGTGGCGGGAGCCGTGGTAAAACAATGAAAATTCAGCAACGCCACCCAGGGTAATGGCCCTGGGACCGGACGGTTTTGATTTAATCTTTTTGCTTTCAGAAGGCCGCACTAGGTTAGGACAATAAAGGAGGTGAATTTTTATTACAAAGATGAGTTTTATTTAATAAATACAGAAGTTGAAATAGGCCTAATATTATTTTAAAATGGTAAACAACCGTCATACAGTACACCTTTAACAATAAACAATGTACACAGTGCTACTTGAGTAGTGGGGGACAGCACCTTTAAATAAACATAAATCAAATAGCTTGTGAAAATAGGCAAACATCACAACAGAAGCAAAAATAAAATAAGACACAGCAAATCATGCACAATAAGGTAAATACACACAGAAAACAGGCAAAGGAAAATAACGTGCAAGCGACAAAAACAAACAAGCATGCAGGAGCAGACATGCGGACAAACTACCCAGATTCCTTGTAGTCTTTGCGAGAGAATGTGGACAACACAGAGGGACAAAACAACGGCCTCCTTTGACAGGAGGTGGCGGCTCCAACGTGGGCCACGCACGCTGTGCGCCTCGTGCCAAGAAAGCAAACACGAGCGTAAACTACCAACTAAGGATTAGCCCTGCAGTGGTAAAGCTTTGTACCTCTTACCTGCCGGTGACAGTGCGCGCACCCGCAGGCAGCAGGAGGAGGGGGAGAGACGTGGGGGAATCACGGCAAAGTCCCACAACAGCCCCAGACCTAAGGAAAATTTGATGTCAGCCCGGGCCAAGCCCAAAATTCAGCGAGACAATGGACGCACTTACCCAAAGAAGGGCCTGGAGCGCACGACGCGTGCACCACGCACGCACTCCCAAGGAGAAGGAGGAAGACCACGCGAGCCAGGCTAGACCGTAGTCCTGGACCTAAGACAACCAACATTAAGAAAGGCTGGCACACAGCGTGCACCAGAAGAGGCTTGTTAAAACCAACCTGGATGATAATGCGTAGAAGCGCAGGGCTCGGAAAGTTAAGGCCCGAACCAGGTGTTGCGGGAGACCACAGCACGCCACCACCACAATGCCCACTCAAGCTGGTGTGTGTATGAGCGCGCGCCGTGCGCGTAACCGGCTTTCAACGCTACGTCGGTGCCACCCACAATCCATCTTAAAAGGCAGCCTACACCAACCTGCCACATTCTACCCCCCCTTTGTTTGTCGGCGTCCGGACGACATAATACAGTAGAATGGACCTACGCAGACCCAGAAGAAGACCCATCAAGGGGGCGGGGAAGATGGTGGACATTAGAGTGTTGCCCGGCGGTCATACGAGTGTTGCCCGGCGGTCATACGAGTGGTGCGACGCAAGACTGGCGGGCTAGCATGTACTGGGGCGTTCTCTGTGTCTCGGTGGCTGTCCTCTACCAATACGTTCTCCAAAGGAACGATGGCCAGATCATCGGACGGGCCAGTGTCCGATGGAGCTTCTAGGTTCGGAAGCTGAAAAGCCGAAGGAGGCAAAATCCAAAGGTCACAGTCTCCCGAAGAGTTGCTGTCTGAGTGTTCGAAAGGAACTGATTCGACCCTAGGAAGTCCAAGCGTGAGGCCAGACATGAGATGGGCCTTAAGCATGTCACGATGCACATTGCGAGGCGCTTGCAAAGTTGCAATCGGAACAACAGTGTAGACCGACCCTTCCCCCACCGGGGCCTTCACTACTTGGAACAGGTCAGGGCGCCAAATGTCTTGAATTTTGTGGCGCCCCCTAAAGCGATTCAGATTCAGATTACTTTATTTACCATTGTGCAAAACACATAGGAATTTGACTTGGCAACATGACAGTGTGCATTCATCTTTTTTTCACATATTATTTAACAAAAAGTGCAAGAGATATAAATAGAATAGTGTAATAAAGTGCCATAGTGTTCAGTCCTTGTTCCTAGGGGGCAAGGGAAGAAGGGAAACCAGCGTCAGTGAGCAGCCTGGCCGCTGAGGGGAAAAAACTGTTTTTGTAGCGCTCTGTCTTAGCCCCCAGATGCCGCATCCTCCTCCCAGAGGGGAGCAGGGTGAGGAGGCTATGACCAGGGTGGGAGGGGTCAGCCATGATCTTTCTCGCCCTCCTCAGTGCCCTGGAGTCGTGCAGGGACTTAAGGGAGGGCAGGGGATGGCCAATCACCCTCTCCGCAGAGCGTATCACCCGCTGCAGCTTGACCAAGTCTTTCGCAGCTGCAGCGGGGAACCAGGTGATGATGGAGTGAGTGAGGATAGACTCTATGATGGCCGAGTAAAACTGGGTCATCATGGCCCTCGACAGTCTGTATTTCCGCAGCTGACGAAGGAAGTACATCCTCTGCTGGGCTTTTCTCAGGAGGGCTGTGATGTTGGATTCCCACTTGAGGTCTCTGGAGATAATTATCCCCAGGAACTTGCAGGACTGTACAGATTCCACCTAGTGCCACCCAGCATGACAGGAGGAGGCGGGGTTGGGTCCCTCCTAAAGTCCACCACCATCTCCACTGTCTTCAGAGCATTCAGCTCCAAGTTGTTGTTGCTGCACCAGTTACGCAGCCGCTCGATCTCCCTCCTGTAGGCCGACTCATCCCCCTTGGAGATGAGGCCCACCAAGGTGGTGTCGTCAGCAAACTTGAGGAGACTGACTCTGCACCACTGGTGGTGATCTGCAGCATAGTAGCTGCAGGGCTTAAAAAACATTTAAAAAGTGCTAAAACACTATGGATTCGGTTAGACCTTAAAAAGAACAATCAAATGCAATGTAGATTTAGAATTTTTGGTTCATTTTAAGAAATTTTGATTTTTAAAATTTTTCGCGTCAAAAAGGTAACATTTCAAACCGCTGTTTCCGACTTAAAAAGACATACCCATTTCTTCACTCACAAAGCATGAGTTTTGCTTCCTGCAGCGATCGATCAGCGGCTACAAAAGACTGTGTAATAGTCTCTTTGTGAATAATTGAATTGGATTTAGAGACAGAGCCAGACGCCATGATTCTATCTGCCGTAGAACGAAAAGAAAGAGGGATAATGAGTCGTCTGAGCACCTTGTCATTGTAATTCATAAAGTAATATGTATCATTATAATCTTGGGAAGCAGATCAAAACACCTTTGTCCAAGAAAGACTACTGTTTGGGACGATCCTTTTGAATCAAACCAATTCTACACAAGTGTTTTTTGAGTGATAGTGGAAACCAGAGCACCCAGAGGAAACCCGCACTCATGGGGAGAACATGCAAAACTCCACCCCTGAACCGATTGGAATTCAAACCCTGGACCATAAGTACTATCCACTTTGCAACGGTGCTCCCTAATATGTATAAATGCTAGTTCAGAATGCAGTTTTAGATAGAACATTAGTCATTGTGTGGCTGTTCATTTATTTCAAAGGAGGAAATTGGCAATGATAAAGTAAAAAATGCATAACTAGATATATAATGCCAAAGCTAAAACCATGAGCTATCAACCGATCACACATTCTTATACTTTTAACAGACAAAAGCGAACAATTTATGGCATTTTCCACAAAGGCTTTGATGCTGGACCTCTAACCCTTCGACATCCTCTCTCTTGAATGAGGAGTGTGTGTGGGATGCACTGCTTATATCCAATAGGAAAAAAAACTCAATAAAGATATCCAGGCAGGAGTTAGCAACTGAGCCGTGCAAGTCTCCTCCAGGGAAACAAAAATATGTGATAAAAATAGCCAGCCCTCTGTGTTTCATCCATGCTTGTCCGAAACAATGTCCCAAGTCTAAAGCCAGGTTAAGCGTTGCCGGCTGCTGATATGTGTGCGGACATGCCTTATTACTCTAAACGTGGCCAGACTGATTTGTCATAGATATGTGGAGATGGTTAAGCAGCCAGATATGTTTCAGCACGCTCACACTTGTCATTAAACCTTCCATGTAATAACCGTGTCAATAACCAGCTCACGCGTGTTATTGGGGCCACCGGGTCAGGCGCCGTTGCACAGGCTCTATGTGAAGTTATGGTGGGAGATTTTAGATCATTATAGTTATTCCGCCGAGTAGGCAATGCTGTCACGTGTTTTTTGTGATGAGGATAACGGAAATTGTCCAATATTTACTACTAAAACTATGACTAACTTCAGAAATATTCCACATTTCAAAATATCCTCTCAATAAAATAAGAGGCTCCTGGAAAGGTGTCAGGACGCACAATCATGTTATGCCAAGCCATAATCCAAAACTGAATTTTGTTGATTTATATTGTAAAATACAGTATATGTTCCCAAAATATTGCTTTGTAAGAGTAGAATCAGGCTACAAAGCTAAAAATATCAACATAATAATTCTAACAAACTCTGGAATGAAGGAAATATATTTAAAAAAAACATCTTATCTATGATAGACGTAACTAATTTGACTCTCCACAGAAATTACATGTTTGTCTCCAATATAAAATGAAAGATTAATAACAAACTGTATACATATGTACATAAGATCCAGGCTAAACAACCCCATTTTTATGCGGGACAGGACAAGACAGTTGAGGAATTAACTTGCGAAAGAAAAGCTTCAAAATAATTTCCATACACTCAAAGCAGGTGGATTGCAGACACTAGTGATAAAACAATTGATTACTGTTAACTAGTTACTGCAAATGAGAAACACTAATCTGCTCCCAATATTCCACGCACCACTCACTGCTTCAATTGCTACCGTGGAAAATATAGCCATGACTTCTCCTGTAAATGAAAAACAATTCTAGATTTATTCCCTATTTCAACTCTCAATTGGACTGATAACAGCACTTACAATGTATGTATCCATTTCTCCTCCTGACAGGCAACGAATGCACAGTGTGCCGGGTCAGAAAGAGGCACAAATGACTCACTTCTTCCAGTCAATTGGGGGCTGGGAGCTGTCAGCTGCTATTGGCAGACCAAACCACTGTCTACAAAGGACTTTCCCAGCCCTAGAGATACATTACATGCACACTTCCATGGCCTGAGCCTGGGGGAGGTAGCAGCGTCGGAGGGAAACGATTAGTATTATCTGGTAGTGTAAAAAACTATGAATCAGTGATGAAGAAAGAAAGTGGCTGGGAGCTCATCAATAACGACCACGCATCCAGCCCTGGCCACACTTCTTATAGCATTTCTAATAGGATTGGACAGAGGCTTTTGGCTTACATGAATGTCTGAGAATGATTAGATGGAGAGGTTTTGTGCCTGGATGTGCACATTGTCCTATCCTCATTAAAGTGTTATCAGTCGACAAGATAAAACCTAGAAAGAAAAAGGCAGAGAAGCGCCAGCCCGCTCCTCTATCTATCTGTCTATTCCTCCCTTTGGCTAGAATAGTGGAGAGTATAGGCATCAGTGATCATCCCTGTACAGAGCTGATAAAAACTCGAGACACGTGCTACACTGGGAGAAGGCTGTCTCTGTCCATGGTGCTGAAATTCTGTCCCTCAGCTCAATGACACAAGCATGGACCAGCTCTGCCAGTAAATGTTTATGCAATTATAGCATTGGTGATATCTTACCTGTAGAAACACCAACAGTTGTGATTAGAAGAGGCCAATCTCACAAATTTGTATCACTGAAGTGTTTATATTTTAACACAGAATCACCAAACTGGCATAATACATATTTATGTATTTTCTGAAATCCATGAAGTCAGTTCATGTTTTATATCATCCTCCAAATTGCACTCAGGTTTCTGCGTATGGCCTCACACTAAAGTACATCTGCGACAACATGATCTCATTTGGACTCTGAGGAGCACAGGGACTGACCTTCTGCTAGTACTCAGAGTTAGGCCTAACATGGGGACCAGCTTCTACTCTGGGCGTGTTCAAATATAAGTTGTTTCGTCTCTCTTTTTAATGTACTGCGATCATTTATGATTCTAATGCCTTGGACTACAAATCAATGACTGAATCAAATACTCAGCTTTGTTACAGAGCTCTCGGAGTCCTAAATACAATGTGCACTTTGAATGGATGGCCTTTTTAACGGGTCAAATGTGTGGTGGCTTCAGTCTCTTTTAAGCATGCTATTGTACGTCGCCTTGCCTGTTCTGGGTTGCAGAGGAATGTACCATGTGTTGCAAGTGAATGAAAGTGAAAGCGTTCATTTATCTTTGGTCCTGCGCTCTGACATCCCACTTTCAGCTCCAAATTGAAACTCCTCATTCATTTCCTTTTGTACGGTGCTATTCCTCCAGTGATCTATTATGACTATGTATTTAATTTAGCATCTCCTGAGAGGCCTTTGTGGGGATGTTCAATAGAAGGGCGGTGTAAAGTGGCTTTGTGAAGTGGCATTCTCCCTCATCTTAACTGCAGTTTAAGTTTTATCAAGAAGCATGGAGGTCTTTACTCTAGCTGTTTTAATGTTTGGGCTGGGAGTGTACACAATCAACATGTGAAACACTACAACATTTACAGCCAAGGCTAGTTTGTAATGTCCGTCCCGAGAAGAGATTTGCACACAATAAAACACACACTTTACATTGTTATATTCACAATATAGAGAAGCAGGTGTCCTTCTACTTATTAATGCTCACAAAACTGGTTCATTTAAAGTTTGTGTTTAAAACCAGCCCAGTCTAGGTCCTCAGTCTAGGATGAGGACTTAAAAAGTTCAAGAGCTTTGCCCCCTGTCCAAATTCTCCTGAGGGGTACTTTTACACTTTTGTTGAGATAATATATGATAAAAGTTTGTTCACGCTGCTGGAAATACCGAAAGACATGGAAGCAAATGTAAAACTTTAACATACAGATGAAGTTCATTTACTTTCATCTTACAATGTCACACTATCTGACAGACTTATTAAACTCAAAGTGAGATATATCAAGCCTGTATTTGTTGTGTGTGTAATTATCTTGAAAACTTAGAATACGGACCGTAATCCAAAATTATAACAAAGAAAGTATTGAGATATATAACTATTTTTTTTTGAACGATGCGCCTGGAAACGGCTGCAAGTCCTAAGTAGCTCTAAAACAGTGTTGTGCTTAATCAATTTTTCTTTTTCTTGCTTTTTTCTACCTGAGATGTTGCTGGTCCAGACCGGAGCGGAGAAGATTCATGGTCCGAACCAAGCGGATCAGGTGAAAATCCACTGGAGGAATGCTAACTTTTAGAAAAATGCTAATGAAGCATTTAGCCTTTTACTTCGGACTAGAGCAGAGAAAATGGTCCGAATCAAGCGACTACTCCACCTTTTGACCTGTCCTGCTCCACCCAGTGGCTACTCCACCTCTGCTGCTGTGACCTGTCCTGCTCCACCCAGAGGCTACTCAACCTCTGCTGCTCTGACCCGTCCTGCTCCACCCAGAGGCTACTCCACCTCTGCTGCTCTGACCCGTCCTGCTCCACCTAGAGGCTACTCCATCTGTGCTGCTGTGACCTAAAGGGCTGTTGCTGATTATTACTTTTATTATGTTCTTAGAATGATCAATTTTATTTTCATTTTTGCTGCTACTGGACACCTGAATTTCTCCTTCGGGGATTAATAAAGTATCTATCTATCTATCTATCTTTGTCAGATAGTTTCACAAAGAAGCAGAATTACAGAAATACATTTTGGACCTGTAGTTTTTTCTGCTTTTCTGTGCTCATTCTTTGATTTATTTCTTTGCTTAGAATGACATACATAGACCCTGGAAAATTCAACTTCAAAAATAAGTAAAATAATACACACCTAATGTATTTCCTTAAACCAATGCACTTAGCAAGACACAGTGTCATTCCCAAACAATATTGGTGACAAACAACCAATGCTAAATTTGAAATAGAAAAATTGCATCTTTGCCCGACTTTTCCCAATTTAAGGACAGCGTCACTGAAAATGGGCCAGGTTTTGTATCTCTAGCTTCCAAATCCACACTGGCTGCCTCTTTGTTAATGGCCTGGTATAGACCATCCATCATCGCACCCGGGCCAGTTAGCAATTAGGACAACTCCTTGGCTGGAGCTCAACACGGGTCTCATCATTTTCCCTGTTGCTATACACTTCCTTAGTCTGTTCCCTCCTCCATGGCTCTAATTCAACCCCTAAAGACGTTTCCCTCACACATTTCTGCTGCAAATGAGGCTCTCTGCATGTTATCTATGATGCAATGGCCCAAAGGATAATTTAAAAGTTAAAGTGGCGTGCTGCTCCTAGTTTAACCTCAGCTGTCAAAGGCTAAAATCCTTGTGTCCTTTGTGGGTTTGTGTGACAGGTGCGTGAGGCTGCCGGCTTCAGCTGCTGCAGGGAGAATGCTGTTTGTCACTGTAGTGCCTTCAGTGGGGCAGGTAAGTCAATGTGGTACTGCGCTGATTGGAATTAGAACTGTTTGGGGAGACTGACCCACACAAAATGAACTTTGGAAGGTATAATCATCATTAGCTTATTCATGTATGCATGTTTCTGTAATGACAGTTTTCACATGGCCCATGTCTCCAACAAAGGAACTGTTTTTGGTAACACACAGTATTGTGTAGATATGAGAAAAACAACTCCAATCTATATATACTTAATGTAAAACTATTTAAACCATGAAAGTACGTCATAAAAAAGATTAGTAATAATAAGTGTTGTCTACAGTCAGATGGGCGCCACCTAGTGCCTCCGCCCAGTTTTCTTTCTTTCCGGCTACCAGGTCAGGAATCAGAAACACAGACTGCCCAACCAGGGAGTACAATTGGCCAATCCCTGAACAGAGGTGTAGTAATAATAGTAATAAAGTAGTAACTAACCCAGTGCTAGTAACCCGCAGTACTAACCCGTTCCTGCTTAGATTCTGAGGTTACCTGGATCAGGCTTTCAGATGCAGGTGGCGCCACATATGTCTGCATAAATAAGTCGATGGATGTAGAGATACATTCTGTGTTGGCATCAATCCCTGAAATTGAGGATTTAAACCAGAAAAAAGAAAATGTTTGGATGAGGACGTGATCGTCATGTCATTATCAAACACCAGGGATTTCTTTAGCAATGAAATTGGTTACTCGCCTACCATAGAGGGAACAAGTCCTAATTCAAACGGCCTCCACAAAGTGAAATTAAACCTGCTGATGCATCAGGCTAATTACTGTGTGTATAGGGAAGAATGAAATACTGTATATATTTCTACAGTAGAATGGCACATGCTCTTAGTCAGCAGTGTTCATTGTACACATTGCAGATAAAAAAATAAGTCAAAATAAACCGTCATTTGTATTAAAATTACAAAGATGTTATTGACCCCAGAGAGCAGTCTACGGTGAGTTAGTCTTTTCACAGTCTATGAAGTTGAACTAATTAGGCTACAGTATTAGGTTCAATCATTTATTTTAGATATAAAGCAAAACAAAATGTGTACTTGTTCAAATGTTGTAGTAGGATTGAGTAAAAAGAAAAAAACAAGACCACATCTTGTTCTTATAGAGAATCTATATCTGTAGTCTTAAATGTATGCAGTCCTAGTCAGCACATGACTCAGGAGTCCCTGTGATAAAGCTTCTGTCCCGTGTCTCTTCTCTCTCTGTGGAGCCTCTGTGTTTTGGCCTCAGTTTTGCTGCTCTGGTTTTTGGACCCCAAAGACAGTGACATGTCCACAGGGAGCTTATCCGCGCTCGCCACATCAGCTGCTGCAGCACAGTTGCTGCACATGGACTCGTGTTACATACTGTAACCAGTTGGCCTGTGAGTGGATTTGGATCCAGGCGCTAAAGAAAGTGATGGTACAGTACTTTTATGTTGTTTTTGTAGTGATGTGGTCATAGAAACCTCACACGTTTGTTAGCTGACAAATGCCACCCATTATGTTTCACATAATAACGTGTATTATGTAAAAGGAACTGGCTGGATGATCATTACTAGTCACGGGTTAATGGCTACAAGATCACACTCAAACCATTGTTGCAATAAACAAATTGTTATGTTAGTTATCTGTAAATGTCTTCTCTAAACATAGCATGTTCAAAACCACAGTGCAGTTTTATACAAACGTCTGTGAAAATATTTCCAAAAATCTAAAATGCAAATAAATATATAGAATAGATGCGTTTAGGACACATCTATCTATCATCTGTCTATCTTCAGGGAAAATAAATAATTATGTCAATACTTAAGGCCACGACCTCAGCAGATCCTCTAGTTCCTCTTAAAATACTTTTTACTCCAAAAACCTGCTTTAATGATTACAAGAGAAGATCAGAGGAGCGAGGAGGAGGAGAACATCAAAGAAATAACAGGATCACACTCAAAACATCTGAGCAGCATGTGGCACAAACTAGAAGAGAAACATCATGAAAGAACTTGGAATTCCTCATGTTTCAAACCACAAATACATCAACACTCAGGAAAACAAGCACAAAAAGGTTGCATTGATTTGTCTTTAAAAAATAAATCAGTGCAATTTCATTTTTAAGTTCCAAACCACAGTCTGCTCCAGAACGCTTCGTTAAAAAGCTCAGCGCTGACCATTGCTGATTAACAACGACTGGATCTTGATTGGATTACAGTTGATTAGACCGCGGACAGTATATATGCCCAGTACTTTATAACTGGGCATATAAACTGTAGCTCTGAAACAGGTTTAGAAATACAAGGATCAAATACAAGGAAGTAGTATTTTGCATAATTTAAGTTAATTTTGACTGTTTTACATTTATATTTGCTTAAAGGAAAGGCAAGTCCTGTGTTATTTAACTAGTATTATTTTCCCCTGTGTTTCACTTTCCTCATTTTAAATGTTTGCGAAATTTGATTATTCTCCTAGTGTCAAAGGAGCAATTATCAAATAGAGATGGCAATGTTAGTTGACAAGACAGGTGATAAAGTATTACAACAGGTTTTATTTTTAAAGCCATAAAACACATGAAATAATAAAACTGATCGTACACTGGGGTCTGGAGCTTTTCATCACAGAGAAACTATTCAGAGAGACTGCACCTGCTCGCAGACAGGGCAAGTGTCAGACGCTGCTGTAATTGAGACTGGGAATAAAATGACTTTCAAGAGGCTGATCTTCTCTGCGACACAAGAATCAAACCTCATTCATTTATTGTATACAGCCAGACTTATTGCAGAGAAAGAGGGACGCAGCCTTGGGGAGTGGAAAGGCTGAAGATGCTGCTGAACAAAGGTTTCTCTCCGTCAGCTCGCCACGCTCACAAAAATAGCAGCTTTTCCTTTTTACCACTTTGTAACGCACCCTTAAACGCCTCATCAAAGACAGTCCAAACCCTTGTAGAGGTCAAACGCATTAGCCACAAGTCACTGAAGCAGCCCCCACCTGTCGGCATTGTGCTCACGACTGTTTGCACTCAATGTGGCGTGTGACGACTTATTTATGAAATTTTAGACCGTACTTTTAACTTTTAATCAGTGAAACAAGCTATTTAGGCTTATACAATCACATATGCAATAACCAAAATACTTAGATTAATAACCCAGTGTTTCTTTAACATGTGAAGTAATAATCAAAACATTCTTCCAGCTTCCTGGTTAAACAAAAGGTCAATAAATAAATAAAAACAGTTTGGTTCTATTACTAGTTTTTATATGCATATTATTTGACTGATATATAGTGACTTCCAGGGCTCATTCAGACTGGACCACAATGTCTGATTGGTTCACAACGAGTTCCTTTTACAAGTTGGGATAAAATGTTAGGAACCCCAGATTGGAATGACCATTTAGGATATCGGCTTAACCAGTATCAAAGAACCCGATCCTGTTGTGTGGTGAAGTGAAGGAAGGACTCAAAAAGCAGGAATGCAAAAAATTATGATTTAATGAAGGAAATAAATACATCTCCAAGGGAAAAATACAAATTCAAAATCTAAATGAAACTCAGGAACCATGAGAAAACAGATAGACATTGACAATGAACCAACAACTTATGGACACATATAGCGACAGGCGAGACACATTTGGGCGGGGCAGACAATCAAGACAGGGGTCCAGGACAGGAGATAAAACTAAACCAAAACTACAGAGAAATCGAGTCAAAATAACACAAAATCCACACCATGACAGATCCAACACGGTTTTAAATATCAATCTGCAATAGGGTGCACCTTGTTCTCTGTACTGCAGACCAATGAGTGTGGCCACACCCTAAGACCCCATCAACCAACGAATCAAGTAAATAACTAAAGAGTGACAGTGCTACACTTTTGCCAAATACTACATCCATTACACTACAACTGAATGTGAGTTTAATTGCTCATGATGGATTCATGTTGGCCTTGGGTGTTTATACTCTTTTCTCCCCTTCATTTTAAACAAACTGCTGCTGATTGGGAAGGCGCTTATGTAAGGCCAGCTGTCTGACTCAGTCCCTTGCATCTCCTCACAGCAGCACAGAGACAGAGCTATATGTGAGAGCGGCTTTAGGTGAGTCATAGAATCACTCTGCTCCTGTGTGGGGCTCACTGAAACTTGTCATAGTGAAGATGTGTCTGATTTCTTACTTTGATGGGTAATGGAAGAGATGGTCACGTAAGCCTCTGGTTTCTAACATGTTTTTTTAAATCTAAGTCACCTGAGCTTTTTTAGGCTTAATGGTGAAATATACAGTATAAGCTGAGGGACGAATGGGAATATCTATACATGTTGTTGAATTTAGCACAGGTTACAGATTAGACACCAGATCTAATGATACAAGTTTCAAAGTTGTCAAACATGGATCAATCCCATTGTCTTTTTGTGAGTTTCCTGATAATAGATAAGATAGACTTTATTGATCTCACACAGGAGAAATTTACATGTCACAATTGGCATGGATAGAAAAACTCAAGATAGTGCAAAAGAAAGAAATTAAAATTAAGATGTATATATAAAAATATATCTTTGTTTATAGGCTCTGTAAATGGTTGAAGCTCTGAGTTAGCCTGGCCTTGGCCATCCATAAACTCCGCTCAATTATTATTTCCCTAAATGAAATGTGTACGATCAGATGGTGTGCTAAAACCAGGCTAGCTCTGAGTAAACGACATAAAGAAATCCATTGATTATTAATATTGTATTTTGTCAGAATTTGTTGTTCCTGGTTTTAATTAAATCGTTGCACCATCTGCTCTAAAATAAGGGTAAATTATGAAAAAGATGCATACTGTACATATACTCTTTCTTAAAACCCTTAGTTTAACCCATTACAGGATTAAGAAATGGAAACTTTTAAACCAAAAAATAATTAATATGAATTAAAGATATCTTTTCGACTTTTGTTGCCTTGTGGAGAGGACTTGCATAATTATATTTGCCATGTTCAAATTGCAGCAATTCGTTAATCCTGACCTATATTTGATGTACTTTATTTTGTCTAGCTGTTAGAATGTTAAAGCAAACCAGGCCAGTGCTGTTCCAGATAAAGACACGCGCCCCTTCAAAGCACTCAAACTCTTTCTGTTTACATCACAGTTTTGTGGAGGACACAGAGCCGTGAGGGACCAGAGCGCTCCAAGGTGACCTCTCCACACCATTACCTGGGCTGACTCTGCTCCGACCACACAGACAGGGACGATTCAGCAACAGCGGATGTGACTCGTGCTTTGCCAAAGATACAGCCTGAGAACATCGTGGTATTCTAATATATTCTGCAGATTTTTTATTGTTTAATTTGCTTAAACAAGAAGGCTGCTAGGTCATAACATTACACCGTTACAGTGTGTGTGAAGTGTCTAGAAAATACTGTGAAAGTACAATAGAGCAGCGCTGAATAAATGATCAGATGTGTAAGTGAAATAAACAGATTTTTTGTATTTTATTTTGGTTTCTCTTATTGTATGTTTATTCAGTTTCAGTGGTAAATGTTGTTCTATTTTGGTGATATTTTGAGGACTCTCTTAAAAATGAGACAGTACATCTCAATGGGGCTTTCCCCCAACCAAAGGGTTATTGTTTTATTGTGAAAATATCATACCACTCTCCATTGTTTTAAAGCAATGCACAGACCATCAACATTGAGGCTCAAAGTATAATATTTTATTGATCACTGATCCTTAGTTGATACGGCCACTATAATGGACCTACATGCACGCAACTGCCAGAATTTGTTTTGACAATTTAGATAACAAAAATAATGTTGTGTTGATCAGGTAATGTAAAATAATTGAGCTAAAATATCAATGAAATGAATGTTTCTATCAGACAACAATAACTATAGTGTTCAGCACAATGGTGTAGAGTGTGGCTCGTCTCTATTGACGGTCGCAGAGAGGAGGCTGAACAGTGTCTGGCTCTGCAGCTGCAGGGCCCTCAGCTGAGGCAGAAAAGACACGAGTCTTTGCCAAAGTAATCTGTTGGCAGCGACTTGTGTCCCAGACGCTGCTGCAGTGACGAGCTACAGGGGGGTGTGGGGGGTGTGTACTTTAGGTCACAAGACACAGACACTGTCCTTGCACTGACAAATGTACTGTGTCTTTCATTGACGGCATAAATCAGCATCTTTGACAAGTGTGACCGCAGCAGATTTTCACGTCAAAGATTGTACTGTCAATTTATGATATTCAATGAGCTCATGTAATGTCAACATGATTCCAGTACCACTGCCTTTAACTTGTACAGTTGAAGAGTAGTTTTGTGCAAGCTCTAAAGATTAAGATTAAGAGGTCCTTTATTTGTCCCACAAGGGGAAAATGTCAGTGTTGCATCACAAGTTATAGAACAGTAGGAAAGAGGAGCTCACAGCACAAGACAAGTGAACAAAAGCTATACTCGTTTGTAACGCATACAAACGAGGAAGCCAAAGAAAACAGTCAAGGAAGCCAAGGAAAAAATAAGTCAAAAAGAACTTTGAAGAATGTTATTTAAGTCTGGGAGATCCGTGTGGTGTCATTTTAATAATGTACTGGGGATGACGCAATATAAAATGTAGAGAAAAAAAAATCATTGTTTATCGGGGGAATCCACGCGTCACAATTTGTTTGTAAGTAACAGGAAACCAGGAATTTGGTTTTCGCATATGATGCAATAGGTTATGAAAATGTCTCCACATGTCCAAAAAAGTTCCATAAATGTGAGTTGAATAGTGCTAACTTAATATTTGTACTATATTTTAGAGGCAAAATGCATGATAAAGTGAAGTCAATGTGAAAAGCATTTTAAAAGAGAAGATAGACTTTATTGATCTCACACTGGAGAAATTTCAATGGAAACGATCATTAAATGGACACAGATATTAAATGTTTTTATACGATTATAATCTGACCTAAATATTTTAGTGATCAACCTAATAACCCTGACATCCTTACTACACACAGACTAATATTCCTCACTTCTACAGTTTTTGGTTCCTTTGTTGTTGTGACCACAGCCGTTGCTCGTGTGTCATCTGCTGTTTATCCAGCTGTTTTCAGGGCTGACCCGCGGACACCACATCACCACGTCCACTCAAGTGTAAATTAAATCCTGCAGGAAAGGGAAGCACCAAACCAGGCTTCAATTAAAAAATGCCCCGGTACGGTCAGTGGGCGCAGAACACGGTGTCATGGTGTGGATTTTATTGTTTGTCTGTGGTTTTATTTGGACTTCAGTTCTGTGGTTTTGTTTTAGCTTGACTTAATGTCTTCCACTTCTGTCTCTCATTTGTACCCTCTTCCTCTCCCCGTGTTGCTGGTCCATTGTCTTCGTTTGTCCCCGTGTGTCGGTTTCCTGGTTCCCGTGTTTCATTTTAGATTTTTTGAGTTTGTGTTTATCTTGGACTTCAATTGAATTGTCATCATTAGATCATAAGTTTTCCTGCATTCCTGCATTTTGAGTCCTTCATTTCCCCTCTTGACACACGGGGAATTACTGACCAGTTGAAAGGTGAAGGACAGCGCGCTTTTGTGAATCATTCATAGGAGTGTGTACAACTCAACACGTGTGGGAGTTACAAATGACGGCCTCAGCCCACGCAGATCACCATAAATAGAGCTGCTTATGCACAAAGAGTAAAAGAACTCAACGAGAATAGATTAAATACATGGAGATAAAACTACTAATGTTGTAATAATAATAATGCACTCAAAGACACTTCTCATGTTAATATTGAAATCACTTTGTACGGTAGTGATAAACTGCTTGCCTCTTTCACCACCAGAAACCAGTCACGCACACACCAGACTCATTCTAGGCAAAGTGGATGAAATGTCTTGCCTAAGGACAGTTTGGGCACTTTACAGCCACCCCGCTGTAGCACCTGGTGTTTCCAGAGGTCTCCCATCATAGTACTAACCAGGCCCTGACCAGCTTTACCACAGAGGTCTGACGGGATCTGGCCACATATGTTATAATTATATATATTTATTTAACCAGGATTGTCCAACTATGATTCCAAGATGGCTTTTTCAGAGGAATCTAAAGGGCGTGACACAAATGGGTACTGAGCCAGAGCGAGATGGAGACAAACTTTGACCATGAGCACTTCCTTATTCCTTTTTGAGCTCAAGGAGTTAGGAGATACTGAAACAGACACAGTAAGAACGTGCAAATACCGTAACTGTTGACCGGGAGTTGAACCCAGGACCAAGAGCAGGAGCTGGCTTACCACTCAGCCACTGTGCCAATCTGCCCTTCTCTACAGTTTAGAAAGCCTATTTTAAATTAATTTTCATAATCATAAATACATTGCATTTGTGAAAAATCCAATATTGATTAGTTACAATGGAACGTAAAGTAAAATATAAGTCTTAGGGGAGACAAAATAATTACTATATCAGCTTATCAACAATATTTTGGAGCTCACTATTCAACATCTGTATCTTTGGTGGGAAAGTTTTTGGGGTTTTTTCTTGGAGAATTGGCAACACTGGGAAAAAACATGTATTTATTTATAGAGACACCTGTAAATGCAGAGTAAGGACGCAAGATTATAGCAAAGATGCATATTTTGAACATTGGTGTGCTGTTTTTTTATTGAATAAGTACATTTGAGCGAGGTAGTCTGTATGGATGGACAGTGCTAAATCGCTAGCACCAGGGACAGAGAAGTGCTCAGGGCATAGTTTTGAAAAGTAAAATGTAACCGTTTATGTCATACTCACCATTTTGGGCTCAAAGAATTGTGAGTTACCCCTCTGTATAATCCCAGGTAATCAGGTCCTCTCTCCCTGGATTTGGTTTTGACTGGGTCACTATCCGCAAAGTTTGAGTTAGCTCTAATCAGCCTTCCAGCCAGTAATAAGGGAAAAAAGATGAGTAACTTGGGACCTGAAGTAGCTCACCACCACCTTCCCATGATTTTGAACGAATCAATATTGAGTCATTTCAAATGTATTTTCATCATTTGAAATATACCAAATAATACATGATAAACTGCACTTTTTAATAACCATGAAAGGGAATTGCTTATTTCTGTTTATAAAAGCATGTCTCCATTGAAAAAGGTGGGAGACAGTCTATGCTTTCAACATCACAGGGAGAATAGCGGTGCAAGATAAAAAATAATTAGCAAATAGTGAATGCTTTAATTATGTAAATGCTCTGAAGACAACATCATGTCATTCTTCAATTACTAAAGCAGTTGATTCAGAAAGAAAAAAATGACATAAAAATAATACAGATACATTTGTCCTCTTGTTTGATTATTAGGTTTCCATGACATTGTCAGTCACCGCCTGCTCTATTAGAAAAAAAATCTACCTGCTAAGTCGTTCAATAGGATTCTAAAGTGTTTTTTAGCCAAAAACCAGACAATATATTGGTACTTTTTATGCAGCATAAAAAACTGCAAGAAATGTTACTATTTGCACTGCTTATCTGCTCATCTTATATAGTTGCGAGCTCAAATGACTATTGCTTTATCTGTGATACTTTTAATTTAGAGAAGGTCACAATATGCATTATTTTCTTATGCTTTATCCATGGCTGGGTCAGAGAGGCTGCAGTCTGAGCATACTCCAGCTAACTCTGGGTTACAGTTGCATATTTAAACAATATTCACAACACTATTGACAATCTAAAATGCTGTATTACTATATTTCAGAGTTACCTAGTGCCAAACAGCTTTCTCCAGCCTTGAGCAGATGTAACAAGTGCATTTTGTGTGAGCTGCTGGAGAGCCACAAACACTGCTCCCTGGTGCTCAGCCTGACATTAATGAAACATCACTTCATTGTTTCATGGGCACAGGTTAAGTAACAGCCAAGTCTCCGACAACACTGCTGCAGATGTGATGGAGATCCAACCATGGGACTGTACAGAATAAATGCAGAGGTGAGCTGAATCCAGAGGTCAGAAAGTGCATCTTTAGACACCATCACAGCAGGGAAGGACATCGATTATGACAGATATGGTGGGAGAGCGGTGGGGGAAGAGGAGCTGTCGATAGAACAAGTCTCATGCAATATGTACACACTGGATATGAAGTGGCCAAACTGACTCAAACATGGTGACAATGGTTTGTAGAATATTGCACAATCAAGGTGAAGAGAAAATATTCAATGGTGAAAACTAGCCTATACAAGAGGAATGGGATGAGGGTAATGGATTACAAATACACTAAACCAAGAATACAGCACAGGAGAGAGTAAAACTGGCTTAACTCAGGATTTTAAATTCAAAATGACAACTGAACAAGGATTATATTGGAATTACTGTTGGATTAAAACCCAGGGTAAATGCTTGCAGGGTTTTGTGTAGACCGACATGACCAATCAATTACAAAGTATAGCCAATAATTAGGTTGAGGACATTTTGATTAGAAGGATAATTAATCAACACTTTAGACTTGGCACCTACTGGCCTATTAAACCAGGAAGACTTCAGAGCATGACTTAAGTACAGAACTGCATAATAGCTTCTCTTAACCATGACTAAGAGATGAGTCCATCAGATGCAGGAGCCTATTCTTGCAGCATCAGGACCAATGCAGGCACAAACCAGGTCAGACCCAGGACAATGAGTCAAGACCCATGTGTCACCAATAACGAGGCTATTACGCTGATGCGATAACACAACAAATGCGTTTGGGACATCATGGACCACACATGGACGCGGGTAGTGCCATGATAAATAAGCCCAAGGCTTATGCACAAAGCAACAGCTACACCTTGTAAATGCCACACTTGAAGAAATGGCCCGGAATTCTGAAAACAATGTATTTGCATTCATAACAACCAATGGGAGCTACAACCAGGGTTAGGGGGGGAAAAAAATCAAGAAGATATGATTGAGACGTCTTGATATGGCACATTTATTTCAATGTGCAACGTTATAGCCTCATATTTCACGTCCAGAGCTGAGACCATATGCGCTAATTATCTCTTGGTGTCATGGTATCCCACCAGAGAGAGCAATGATGCTTTTAGGAAACAGCTGTACATTGTGTTTGGGGTTTAACGCATATAAGCTTTACACATATAAGATGGTCCTACCTGCGCTGTGGACTAGCTCTATCCCCGATTCGGTGAGAATGTTTGGGTCACTTTGAGATCTGCCTCGTTGGAGACAGCCGTCTACTCCATCCGATGTAGCCATGAGGAGACGGCAATCCGCGCGCCGGAATCCCAAATAATTAAACAAAAATCACAAAACCAAGCGGAGGCAGGGGAAGCGGCGAATGAGGAGAGGTTTAATTCGCTCTGACAACCGCCGTTTGGAGCATCTACCGGAGAGCCATGGCTGAGAGCAGATTTTCGCGGTGTGTGTATGTGTGCGTGTGTGTATGTGCGTGTATGAGTGAGTGTGCATGGAGAGATACAGTGCGTGTGGATGTGGGAGGGGTGCCGTGGCGATGATGCATGCCCGCACCCCTCCAGCAACACTGGGGAAGATGATCAACCAGTCGCATTGCAAAATACAGTGACATCAAAACCAATGTTGAATGCACTGTTTACGATGCAAAGTCTGACGGTGTTAACGTGGTGAATTACAGTATGTGGGTCAACCCTTGAACCAGTATGACTCATTTGTGTATCCATAGTGGTGTGCGCTAATATCCACAATCTGGGGCGTTATTGTAAACCATGAATCAAATGAGCAATTTCTGGTTCACGTTTTCGTGTTTAATAGTATGCTTTTAATTTATGAATGGAATGCAACTCAATGAATGAATTTTAAAAGCACGCACACAGTTTATCTATATTATGATAAAACATTGTAAGCTTTGGCATACTTTGATTTGCAATTAGAATTAGAAATATACAACAATGAATTTAATACATAATTTAATATGAACAAAAAACAAAGACAATTCGTTTTATTTTCTGATTGGTCAGTTTGGCTCGTGACGCAACAACGCGGAAGTGGATTCATGCAGCCTGAACCAAGATGGCGGCGCACGGCTTCTGCACACGTCTTTTCATAATTCTTTATACTATATCGTTCTTAATTGTGGCACATGCACAAGATACAACTCCCACTCCAAGTGAAACACCGCGTTCGGTCAACTCGGAACCAAAATACCCCGAAACAACTCTGGAGACGCCTCTGGAGAAGGGTGAACAGTGGGAACCGACCGAGGTGAAAGAGTCCCCCCCTGAAGATACAGCCTCTTTTCCCGCAGAGAATGCAGCCAGCCCCGCGGCTCACGGGACGGAGGATTTTCAAGAAGAGCTGGTGATCAGACCTCTTCATTCCGGAGACATTTACGCCAGCTTCCAGTTCCGCACTGCCTGGGAAACTGACTTCATGAACGGAAACAAAGGTGAGGAGCAGGAAGTGGTGACAAATAAATATGTCAGATTCAGAGATGCGTTTATTGTGTGGTGGACAATTCCTCATCTGCTAGTGCTCTGTCCCACAGTATCACAGTATCTCATTCTTTCATCTTAATTACTGAGAGTGGGCTTGCTCATCTGGAGAAATGACTTCTAACTCGATCTGGTGGTACTTTAGACAGCTTTTAGTTAATCCAATGATGTATTGGATCATGTATGGAGATAAGCAGGTGCTGGGGTGTTTCTTTTTGATAAAGACGTGTTATAAATGTGCTGAATAAAATCATGGTATTCTTGCTCGGCCCTGTCAGTGGCTGATATTCTTATAGCTCATTTGACAAACTTACCACTAAACATAGCAAAATCTCCTGAAATACTTCTAAATCTGAGAAAAATAGAAATTTTGTGGAGAACCTGGTGACTCTATTTATGTCCAGAACTGATTTTGATTTTTTTTTAGGTAGTCAGAGATCTTTTCTTTGCCCATTTGTAGAATAATTTAAACTTTTGATCATACCTGCTTGTATTGTGCGGCCTGGTGACCACTGGACATGCAGGTG